AAGATTGCACTTGTTCTTATGGCCATGTTCCTAAAATTGCTGTACAGAATTAATGCAATCCAAATCAAACTATCATTAGTATATCTCACAGAACTTTTTTTTTTTTTTTTTTTGTGGTACCAAGGATTGAACTCAGGACCCTGTGCTTGCCAGGCAAGCACTTATTCTACTGAGCTATGTCCCCAACCCTATCTTACAGAACTAAAGCATTTCTAAAATTCATTTCAAGCCAGAAGATATTAACAAAGCAATACTGGGTAACAAAGGAAAAGTGGGAGGCATCACAATCCTTGACTTGAAATTATACTACAGGGCCATTGTAAATAGACTGATGTCTATCACTATACACTATAACAAAATAAAAAACAATCAAATATCTAAATAATAAAACAAAACACTGAATCTTCTGGAATAGAGAATAGGTAGATCTCTTGAAGATATAGGTATAGGCAAGGACTTCATGAACAAATCATAAATACTGCAAAGAGTACCACACAGGAAATATTGTAAAGAATCAACAACTGGGATTTCATCTTATAAAAAAGCTTTGGCGAAGAAAAAAATCACCAACAGAGTGAAAATATAACCCAGAGTGGCAAAAAATTTTAGCCTGTCTTTCTTAAAAGACTAACATCTGTTTTTTATTTTTTAAAAGTGAATATAAATTAGAATTAAAATAGAAAAATATTACAAATGATACAGAATTTCACTTAACAGAGTAATATGATTTTCACAGTATATGTTATAATACATAGTGTCTCCAACCAGTTATTCATAAAACCAGATATATGCACGTAAAATTGGAAGAAGAAAGAAAAAAGAAGAAAATGCATAAGAAATTAAGAAGAGAAAAAGTACAAACAATTCAAAAAAAGATGAAACAAACTAAGCCGTAAGTCCTCCTTGTCATAGACCAGCAGAAATGAACAGTATAGTTGTCCAAACCATCCTACTTACATACATAGATAAACCTCTTTCCCACATTCCTTTTCCTATCCTCCTCAACTCAGTAACTCTTTCCTTTTGAATAAGTTCATTCCCAAAAGACTAATATCTACAACACTGAGAGAACTGAAAAAAAAATCAGACCACACACACAATTATTTTAAATTAAAAATATTGTATTTATTTATTCATTTGATACAGGGTCTCATTACACAGCTCAGACTCATAGTGATCCTCCTATCTCAGCCTCCCCAGGGCTGGGAATAGAGGTGTGCACCACCTGGTCCAGTTTCAGTGGCCATTATGGTGCACTGGAGGTTCTGAGGCCAACACAACCGTACTGGTCATCAAACCCTGATTCTTGCTTTTGTCAGCAGGTGCTTAGAATGACGAGCTATCTCTCCAACCCCTATTTTTTTTTTGACATCACGATATTTATTTTAAAGATACAATACAAAATTGGGCACCTGAGATGAATACAAACTTCTCAACTGAAAAAATACAAGCGAAGAATAAATACATTAAAAAATGTTCACCGTGTGCCCTCCGGACCACTCCGGAGCTCCCCACCCAAGCCTGCTGAATGAGTGAGAAATTCTGCCACGCATTCAGGATCCCCCAGATCCAATGCAAGCCCAGGCCCAGCGAGTGTGTGGAGAGCTCGAGCTCCTGTGTGCCCATGGAAACTGTCCAGACTAAAACCCAGGCATGCCACGTGAATGAGATGTTCTGCTGCACACTTGGGACCCATCCACCAATCTAGAGACAATCTTTCAAGCACACCAAGTGAGTGAGAACTTCTGCCATGCCCTCAGGACCCCCCCCCCAGACCGAGCCCAAGTCCTAGCCCTGCTAGTGTGTGGGAGAGCTTCTTTGTTCCCCTTCACCTCCTAGGCCAGGGGCACAACAGAGGGGCATGACAGGTTCACTGTTGTGCCACAGGGTCACAACAGGTTCACTTCCAAGGGCTACATCAGGAAGGAGCTGAGCACAGGAGCTAGACCCAAACC